GTGCCTGGCCTTTACAATGATTCGTGGTGGCCTACCTATGTATCGCCATTGGTGCTATCCTCCCAGACAAGTCTGGTACCAATTTTTTGACTCCGGAGGGATGGAAGGCTTGGTGGATCATGGGTGCGGGGATCGATTTCACGTGTGTGTTGCGAGGCGTCTCCGACCACTGCGCCTATTTGAGACCCAACTTTCACTAAGAATAAAATTATTTCGTTATTTCGGCATTGAGCCGAACTGGATGTACTTCGGGAACGGCTTCACAAAATGAGTGTGGAATTGAACCGGCAAACGCAAGTAACATTGTATAACAAAATTTTCTAGCATTTAAATTTAACTATTTATTTACTTTTCCAATCTTAGTTATTATGCAGGTTTCTCCTATTGTAATTTCTTATATGCAAAGTGAATTTTGCAAAATCTTTGATGTCATGACATCGATATGACATCGCACTCAAGAAACTAGCTAATATAGCCTTTTTCCTTCGGCGCTGATAGTGGATATGGGAGTTTAATTCGTATTTATTGCGTTACTGTTGGCGCGTGTGGTGCACAGGTCGGAGGCGCCCTGCAACACACACGTGGAATCGATCCCAGCGCCAGAGGCCCGCCAAGCTTTCCATTACTCCGTGGTCAATAAATTGGTACCAGACTTGTCTGGGAGGATAGCAGCACTGGTTCGATACATCGCTGGGTCACCGCCAGTCATTGTAAAGGCCTAATATGCATTTAATCACCTCAAAACGAACTTAGTGAAGTCGAATGCATGGCGCATCCCTTAGGGACTGATTAACGCCCAGAGCTTTATCCTTTATCCTTTTATACGTTACTGTTATAAGAATTTGAATACCTTTTCATTGCATGCGATGGCATTCTCTAACCAAATCTTTTTAGTGAATTAAAAATTTCATCTTAAATTGGGGTAAGTGTAACTCAGTGGTCAAAATCTAGTTCAATACCCATCGGACCTTGGTCCTACCATCCCCTATTCAACCGAGGAGACCTCTAGGATCGGCAACAAATTGGTGTCAGACTTCTCTGAGGGCAACCTTCCTTCTCCGATCACAAAGGGCCTTCCCCTCTTCTTGTGAACACCTAAAAACGCTCAAGCAGAACTGGCTTAAAATTCGAGAGAGGGTTGATTCGACCAGCATTCAACGACATTCATGAAGACAGTAGAGTCCTCAAATCGCGGTTGAACCCACACTTATATCCTGGGACCATCGTGGAATATGGATGCGGAGAACCACAAATTGTAGACGTGCGGTATTCGTATGATGTGAAATGCATGTTCACTTAAAAAAACAAATTCTTCAGTGTGAACTTGCATCACACCGAATAATGTAAGATTTGGAAAAGTCCGGCAAAATTTAGGCAACAAGTTCACGTTAGCAACTTAGTTCAGCAAGCAATTTCCATTTATTTCTTCCACAATTGTCCTTACTTTTGTGCGATAATGAATAAAAGGCAACGAGTGCTACAAACTTATGCTATTCTTATCACTTTTTTGGCTAATCTCACAAAAATCTTTCAGAACTTCGCCTAATCTAAATGACAAAAGGGAAAGCTCTTGGTGTTCACCAATCCCTGAGGAATGTGCCATGCATTCGACTTCATTAAGCATCGTTGGAGGTGACTGAATTCATATCTTGGCCTTTACAATGACTCGCGGTGGGTTACCGATGTATCGAGCCAGTGCTGCAATCCTCCCAGCCAAGTCTGGTACCAATTCGCCGACTCCGGAGTGATGGAAGTCTTGGTGAGCCACGGGCGCGGGGATAAATTCCGTGTGTGTTGCAGGGCGCCTCTAACCACTGCGCCACACGCCCCTCATAAAATCTAATGTAAAAAAGTTATCTGTTAAACGTGACAGTAATTTTTGGATAAAAAGGGAAAAAGGAAAAAGCGAACTCTATTTTTCCATTTTAGGCTGTTTACTTTGTATACCATTGGAAGCTTAGTAAATTTTCATCTACCAAAAGAGCTTTTTATTTTAATCTTAATCCTTTTATTTATGCCTTTTTCTTTTTAATGGCAGGGTATGTTGTATATAATGCTGAGATATTTGCAAAACTCCGGACCGCAGGTGTATGCGATGGGGAACGAACGCGCGCTATTGTCCTTACCAGGGAGCAGCGCACTTCACCACCACACCATGCGGTTTCATCGCGTGGCCTGTCTCTCAGCTAGTTCTATCGATCTTTTTGCCATCAGCAATCACCCGTCAACGGGATTGATCTGGGGAGCCCAAATCGGCATTGAACCCAGTTAAGCTGAGGCTTGGTTATAATCACAATCTTAACCCTTTTATTTACTGCCTTTTTCTTTTTAATGGCAGGGTATGTTGCGAATATAACTCGTATATAATGCTGAGATATTTGCAAAACTCCGGACCGCAGGTGTATGCGGTGGGGAACGAACGCGCGCTATTCTCCTTTTCGAGGAGTGGCGCACTTCACCACCACACCATCCGGGTCCTGCCTGTTTTTTATTTTATTAAAGAACAACACAAATTATACAGAGGCGCGTGTGGCGCAGTGATTAGAGGTGCTGCATTATACATGGGATCGACCCCATGCCCCAGGATCACCAAGCTTCCCATCCCTCCGGGTATCGGCAAATTTGTATCATATCTCTTTGAGAGGATAGCAGCACTGACTAGATACATCGACAGGCCACCGTGAGTCAATGTAAAGGCCAGATTTGCATTCACTTAGGTTCAAATTTTGCTTAATGAAGTCAAATGCATGGTGCATGCCTCGCGTGGTTGGTCAGCGCTGAGATTTTTTTTTCCATTACGAATTATACGTGCGTTATGTTTGACTGGCAGGCCAAAATCATTTTGACGAGACGATAAAGTTACAAGATTCAGATGTCATAGAAAAGATGTATAAGCTCACAAATGTTTAGGTAAGAGAAACTTGATTTTACTCATGAAAACATTTCTATTAGAGAACGATCTTATGGGGTTTTCTTTAGACCTTTTCCTTTCGGGTTAAATCATCCAATTACTAGTCTTTCCGCTAGACTCTTCTCATCCTGTGAAACACTGCCGCTGACAGCTCCAATTTCAGTGACTGCTGTTAGTAAGTAAGAGGCGAAAAATTCAAACAAGAGACAAGCGGCTTCAATTCAAAATTCCTGAGTTTCCAGACATATCGATTACGTAGAATCTCCAGTATTGATTCATATTGCCGTCATAAATAAACGTTAAAGCGCTTGGTGTTGATCAATCCTGTAGGGATTCTTCGCGCATTTGACTTCATTAAATGATTACTGAATGCGTACTTGGACTAAATAACGATTCGTGGACCGCAAACGATGTGTCAAGCCGGTGATTTTTACGCTCCTAAGTTGCAATTTGTCGATCATAGAGTGAGTGATGGTAGGGTTGGCTCGGGGTAGGATTGAAAAAATGTCGACGTGTGTTCCGCAAAACACCTCTAACTGCTGTGCTTTGTGCACTTTGATAATGATGCAGTAAAAGAGTTAAATTTCATTTCAAATAAGTAACCCGAACAGAATAATGATGATGAGATTTTGTGTCTTGCACATGGCACACCGATGTGGTACAAATAGTAAATCAGATAAACAGAAATCATTTACAGTTATCACATCTGGTGATAAGCAAGAAATCACCGAGGCATAAAGCAAGATATTCAAGGATAACGTGGAATAGATGACCTTCAACTTAAATACTAAAATAAGAGCTGCTTCTAAGCGAACCTTCTATCGACTGCAATTGGCCCAAATTGACGGGAATCCGAAAAGAAACAGTTTTCTATTTTTTCTTTTACAAGTGCTATACTCTTCTAAACCTAACTAAGATAAGATATATTTGAACATGAATGCATTAACCGACACATGCAACCCAACCTGAGATGAGTGAGTCCACCACATTGTGATGAGAGGGAGGACGGAATCGTTAGTACGAATTGATCTCCTTTCCACATTTTGGCCAAAAATGTTTACTTCTTTCTACACTAGACAAATAAATCTTAACCTACGAAAAACTTTGTTATCTGGTGTAAAGCCCCTTACAATAGACAGGTCTTTACCAACACTGAAAACCTCTTCTTAAACTACACTGGTGAATTTCCACTTTTTTGGTGCTCATGAAGCATTTTTCCCGCCTTTTTTCTTCGTGAGGGCTCATTTTTCCAGTGGCGGAGATACCGAAGAAAGTGTCATCCAGCTGGGCGTCAAGTTGTACTTTAAATCGTCGTTTATTTTTGTTACTGCCCTACTTCATTAAAAACTGGAAAAATGTAAGCTTCATCTTTGGTCTCTTAATAACTCGAAAGACCGACTTTCTATGAACCTCGGCATAAATAGTTGATATATTTATTTATGAGATCTTATAAACTGATCTTCTTAAGCTGACGCGAGGTTGGTACAGATCTTCGTTGTCGTTGTCGTTGTCGTTGTTTTTGATGTTATTGATCGATGGCTGACGTTTCGGCGACTTCGCCTTCCTCAGAGCCGTGATGTTACGTGCGGGACTAATATTCATCTTTGGTCTTTCTGACGATTTGATTTCGAAACAAATTTGAGATCGAAGCAAAGCTTTGAAAAAAATATATTGAAGCTTAATAGATCGAACTCTGTTTTCTACGCCTGCCAAGTCCCCAACTCTTCTAGGGTTTCAGTTATAGAAAGAGTAGGCGTGGTCCACTAAAAATTAAACGTCGAACTGTAAGTGTCAGATAAAAGTTTCCCGGCGAATCTGTTATTCAACAACGAAATCGCTCTCTAACATTGGAGGTTGAGTGAGTCTTGCTGTGCATATTAACTAAGACCGACAACTGCAAAAGCACTGTAAATGCGTGAAAATTTTCCTAATAAGATCATAATTGAAAAGATACATAGCGATCAGACATTACATAAGATTGGAATAGTTGGCTGGATATCGATTACGGACATGTTCTGTGAGCAGGAAAGACCGTTTTGTGACCGCTTCGTTATGAGCTCACACAGAGCCACGGAATCATTCACAGCCATCATTCGCCCTTCCTCGTCCGATGGATCCAAAAACGCATGGTTGCACGAAAACTCGTATTAAGACACATGTAGATCACGGGATTGAAGCACGAATGCGTATAACCAAGCCACGATGTCAACACATACAATTTAAGGTGTAGATGATGGTTGATTTGTATCGAAAAGCCCATAGCAATACCACGTGTCACGCTCACACAAAAATACGGGATCCAACAGATAAGAAACGCAACTGAAAACATAGTTAATTGATTGGAACGCAATGCCGATCAATAAATACTCTTAGCTGACTCACTGAGGATCGCGGCAACGACGCGAGTTGCACGCGATTCGCGTCGAATAGCCATCGATTCGCGACGCTTACGCCGAATAGCGCGTGTGACCTTTAAAAAACCACGGAGTATGGATTGTTAAAAAGAAGGCATAAATGACGACAATGTCGTTTTCTCGTTAAGGTGTTTATCTTGGTTGTCACAAGAGCGTCGGTGTCCGACTAAGCAGAACATGGGACATGTTTACGAAAGGATTTCGGAATTCTTCTACAGAAATCTACAGAAATCCTTGGATGGAAAAATTTTCTGGGTTTACTGTTTTGAAAAGACTACTTTTATAGTCCCTCCCAACGGTTTACCGCCTCATCGTGGGAGGTGTTCCTGGGTGTCGGACTGCGATGCGCAGCGGGGTATTCGGCCCCCCGGCAGGGTCTCCCAAGCTGAGAAGGAGTCCGGTGTTTCCATCAGGAAACCTAGCTAAGAGTAAACCAATACCAGGATTCACCACCGTTCTGGTATCAAAATCGCATGGTGGAAAATCTCTGTCTTCCCCACGCGTTGCGACTGCCTGTGGTGGTGAGGGACTGGAGCAGACTTTGGCCAGGCTGTCCTCGGGATTCGAGGGAACCATAATGGCTTTACCAGCAAATCTCCGAAACATGGTGATTATGCTAGGGCCCGCACAGCTAGTAAGGACGGACCGTTCAAGTATCATGTAAGTAAGTACTTTTATAGTCAGTTTAAATGAAACAGCTCTGGAACATTGCTGAACTGAAAAACGGCTTTTGTCTTAAAGAGGTTGCCAACGATATGATTGAAACTTGAACATTGGGTTTTACCTTACTAGAATATTAAGAAGACGAATTCCGCCGAATTTCTACCAATTGTGGAATTTATGTTTATTTTATACGATCCGTCCTTACATCTACTCTGCAGATCCCAGAACTTTTCACATTCGATTCGCTTCCTCGTATCCATCATCCACGGACGTCTTCCCATTTTTAAGTATGCCTTCGGCTGCTGCTTGAGGATTTCCATTTTATGGTATATGTCGTAGAGTACTGGTGGAGTCGATTTCCCATGGAATCCCGAGATAGCCGGGCTAGAGCATTCCCACTTGGATTGTGGACAGTGAGCTTTTTGCCAGACACTTCCAGTAGCAATTTCTTGACAAGGGATGAGAGGCTTGGTGAGTGCTGAGCGGGATCGAACCAGCACCGCGCTCGTGATGATGACCATCATCTATTACTATGCTGTCTGCTCCATCTCATTGTGGAATAGATATTGTAACAAGAAGTTCGTTCCAGCTTATTAAGGATACAAACTTATCCGATCAGCTTGGAGGTTGATAGAAAATCGCTCATGTTAACTGTTAAGCGATGTGTATAGCATGTCAACTCTACAATCGAAGATGTATATAGCATTTCCTAGAACTGTTATTATGAGATGCCTACCTAAAAAAACTGGCCCTGCAATCGATCTTTAATTTACAATTTAACGTATTATTTACTGCCTATTCTTTTTAACGGCCGGATATACATTGTGAAATATAACTTTAATGATGATGAGATATTTGCAAAACTCCGGACCACAGGTGTATGCGGTGGTGAACGAACACCCGCTGTTGTCCTCACCGGTGAGCAGTGCACTTCACCACCACACCATCCGGGTCCTTCATTTTGCCTGTCTCTCAGCTAGAAGATCTTTAATTTAATTTCGAACAAAAACACTGCGATTTGGTTCAGTTTCGAAGTCTAGATGTTCTAAGCAGTTAATGCGATGTTGTTAAAAAAAATTTTGCTCACTTTTTTGCTCGAGCTGTCAAAAATTTTGCTCATTTTTTTGCTCGAGCTATCAAAAATCTACTGTAGTTCTACCAAAGACCTACATCACACCTGAGTAGCGATTCGCCTCAGTTTTCCTCTGCTAATCGTTGAAATCTTCTTTTGTGGAGTTTCATTAGATCCGTCAATCGTAATATCGATCGGCGTCTTATGGACGTGACCTGCTTCCAGGACTGCATTCCGAAGTGTCGACCAGGCTGACGATCGTCTGAATGATTAGTGGATCACTTTATGCTATGATATCGTACTTTATCAGTGATAGCTGCACAAGGCACTTGCATTTATATACGGCAATACAAATATGATTTCGGTGCGAAATAAGTAATCATATAATCACAATTTTAACCTTTTTATTTACTGCATATTCTTTTTAATTGCAGAGTATGTTGCGAAATATAACTTCTATAATGCTGAGATATTTGGAAAACTCCGGGTCCGTAGGTGTCTACGGTGGGGTACGAACGCGCTATTGTCCTTTCCGGGGAGTAACGTGTTCACCACCACACCATGCGGGTCCTTCGTTTCGCCTGTCTCTCTGCTAGCGCTATCGATCACTTGCCATCAGCAATTACCCGTCAACGGGATTTTTGCAAATATCTCAGCATAGTAGAGCTGTAAGTGTCTATAGTTCGGTCGTGATGCTGCTCAATGTAACCAACGCTCTGATCCTGCGGTCCCAAACCCCGTCCATCCGGGTAAACGAACAGCGTAGTACGACATTATCTAGTGCTTGTTAGGCCGATTTCGGTTCAAGTTGAGGTTATTTGAGGTCCATACTGTTTAATTAACGCATCCTTTTAATAGTAATGCGTGTTACTTCGCACACCACCGTACTCCGGACCAGACCAAGTGTATTACTTGGCCAGGATCAACTGCTCCTCATTCCACAAAATTGGCGACTACTCTGATGAAGACATGTGAATAGCCTAGCACGGCAACCGCTTTGACGAAAATCTACTGAAACAACCTCCAAAGCCACCTATGAAAAACACTAATCCTCAAGTAGCAGCCGAATCGGTAACCAGATCCCTTCTATGCGATAAAACAAATCGAATTTAAAAAGTACTGGAATCTGCACTAAATGCGATATTGGGTTAAATAAAAACAAAAGAAGAGTAAAAATGTATAAGCAAGCACGAAGGTGTATAGCTCGCTGAAATCATCATTAAGACGTCCCGAAAAACCATTTTTTTGTTTCAAAACATATCAAACAGTTTTTAGAACCAGTCCATAAACACTATTGCAAATGTGTGCCGAACAGTAAGGAACTTTTACGTCCTCTCAAAGGCACGTGTAGCGCGGTGGTTAGAAGTGCCTTGAAATACACACATGGTCGCTGATTCGATCCCGCTCTCTGGACTCATCAAGGCTCGCATTCTTTCAAAGTCAGCAAATTAGTAAAAGATTTTTCTGACAAAATAAAAAAACTGATCTGTTGCACCGGTAAGCTGCCGGAAGTCATTGACGTACATTCACCTCTACGATGCTAAACGAAGTTGAACGTATGGCGCATGCATTAAAGATTGATCACTGTGGAAAGCCTTATCTTTTTGCGCTTGTAGGACCTTCATGACACCCAAAAGCGAGCTCATCGTATGTGTGCGGCATTTGGTTTGCTACCGCCACTATAAGGTCTTCCAATTCTATTCTTCATGCACAGATGCACGATCCTTTTACATAAGATTTATACACTGTGGCTGATTGTTCAATTAGTCCTTAGGTCTCTTTACTCTCCCAACTCTTGCTCCATTTACCAAAAGCTCAGTTTGCCATCTCTAAGAGTATCCGATTTCACCCAAGAGTACTACCACCTGCTTAGGTATCGAAGAGATTGCTATCTAGTGCCCAGGAATTAGATGTGTTTATTGCGATAATGAATTACGGAAATTCCTATTTCATTAGTATTTTTCGTTTTTCCTTTGTGTCCTACTAGGATAGTTTTATATAGTTTTCAAACCACCTTAAGCTTTCGCTTTTTTCCACCTGATTTTGACTATCCTTAGACTGCGTAAATGATTCTCATGCTAGCGAGGTGAACCTACCTCGAGTCAATTTCGAATGTTGAGTCAGAGTTATCGGTGAGACTGCTGCCATAACTGTTCGTTGAAATTCGCCTCAACGTATCTCCACTACTAGCTGAAGTATGGGATGAGTGACTGCTAAGTGAAGGAACAGAACACAGAGACGGACACTCGAATAATCTCGGAACCTGTGGAATAAAGGGTTTTTTAAAATATAGTTCACATTCTGGTCTAATGCATAGGTTTCGGAATTTCCAGCTGATTATTTTAGTAGCAGTTCCCACGATCGACTTTCTGTTAACCTCGGCAGTGGACTATAAATAGCTTGTTTTCTTCCTCAGCAATCGCGAGGTTGTTATTCAGCACACGCTTACTTACAACAAGACGGCACTATCGCCTTCTTCAGAGCCTGGAAGGGAACATTGATAAACAGTTTACTAGGTCAAACCCTTCAACACCACAAACAAAAAGATGAAAATCTAAACGATAATTACATGTTCCGCAAGTTCTCGAAAAACCACCGTTTTTTTTACACGCCTTCCACCCAGAACAGCACTTTAGAGTCGCATTTGGTTGATGACTGCACCGCCAGTCACTTTGTAAAAGGGTTTTTTGATGGGACACGTGCGATACCTCGTTTTGGTAAAGATGGCCAATTCAGATATTCGAGAAAGGGAACACTTTGAAAGTGAACATATTCGAAACACTTTTTCGAATTTCTGAATTGGCCATCTTTACTAAAAACAGGATACGGCATGTGGTCCCAGCAAAAACCATTCTATAAAGTGACTAGTGGGTTGGACAGCACTTATATTCGCTTCTTGATAAAATAGCATAAGGTTGATAAACAAACTTCATTCGCTTAACGTTTCGACGTCTTCGTCTTTTTCAGGGCAACTCGTTACGACGGCGAAGACACAACATCAAGAGTGCAAGCAACTATGGACCATAGACTAGCATCATCGGCTTTGAGGAAGTATAGAGAACATTCTTTACGAATATTGGAATGTTCTCTATGTAAATTAATTATAACCTTATGTCAAACATTTTCGAATACGGCTTCCGGTGACCTTATGACTAACATTTCGTCGGCGGTTATCTCATGAAAAACATCTGCGGTTACAGTCGTATGCTTTGACTATCGCCTTATCAGATTGCAACGCTTGTGAAATGTTTCCGGTAGCCGTCCTTCCCCATACTGTAGCCTGACTCCACCTACTGTAACCCCACTCCACCTACTGTAACGCGACTCCGCCTATTGTAGCCTGACTCCGCCCAACCCAAACGGTATATAAACGGCTCCACGGCTGACTAGCTCAGGTCACAGCAATGCTGCCCAAATCACCATATCCTTTCCTCACATCGATCTCATGTGGTCGAAGTCTTATGACAACCTCTTCACTCTTGAGCAACCTGAACACAAGAAATCAGGCTGCGCCTATTCATTGCTTGTATCATTGTTGTATTAATTGTACAGTTGTATTGTTATGCCATAATTGTTATATAATTATGATAAACGGTTTAATTACCCAAGTCTGAGGTTTCCGGCATTGTGACTACTACTTACAAGAAGTCCCGCGTGGCATACACAAAGGCGAGCAGCAAATTCCGACCGAATCATCTTAACTACTTGGTATTCCTATATAATCGAGCCGTCCCGCCATAGGAAGATTAATACGTCGAAACGTCAAGCAAATAAGGTTTCTTATCAAGCTCGTGTTACCTTATCAATAAGAAAAACATGCAGTGATTAGTCACACCGAGGTTTAATGAAAGGCCGTTTTTAAAACAATTTTATTCTCATTCCACTTGGAGCTGCGCTGGAGCTCTAATGAAAACGTCGAACTCGTCTTTTGCTCGGCAGATCTGGTAGCGAGATCTCCGTCAAAATGCGACATCGAAAAACACCCCTAGTGACGCTAAGTCGCTATCAGTGTTGTTTACCAACAATGAAAAAATTCACAATGTTTACTTTTTTATTTTCTGCCTTCTATTATTTTTATGGCAGGGTATTAAGCGAAACACAACCACAAGATCGCTGAAATATTTGCAAAACTCCGGACCGCAGGTGTCTGCGGTGGGGAACGAACGCGTTATTGCCTTTTCCGGGGAGTAACGCGTTCACAACACACCATGCGGGTTCTTCGCTTCGCCCCTCTCTCAGCTGGTTCTATCGATCTGTGCCGTCAGCATTCACCTGTCAACAGCAATGAAAAAAATTTCTGAGAAAAACCTTTAGTGTTGAGTTGCTCGCTTGTATACTCGGTGATTGTGGTGGTGAATTAATTCCCATCATCGCTGGTACCATGAGAAAAGTGGGCGGCGGAATGCACGTCAAAAGTCTGCAGAATTCAATGATGATTAAAAGTAAAACTTAATCAGACGCTACACTACACGAACTTTTTCTGATTACGATAGGATGATGGCACGACGAGCAGCTGTTTTTGTGTGTTGCCTATCGACAGCGTTTTCTTAGATGAGTCCTCAGTGACAGGTAAATGCTGTTGTGAAGCCTAAGTAGGGAGTTTAACAACCAGAAGAAAGCTTGAACTTTATAGCACATTATGAATGCTAACTTTCCAACGACTTTCACCCTAACCGTTATTCTATATGAGAATCCATTGTACCAGAGAAAGTCTCAGCAACCAAACTAGAAAATACAAGGAACACCTGTCGGAAGTTGACCACTGTCTCCTCTGTGCTAGCTTCCATCGACTTATCTTCTGTCAAAGGATTTTCTTCATCACACAATGTGGATAAGCGTGAGCAAGAACAGTAATGAGTTGAACCTAAAGCAGCTCACTGCTTAGTTAAATTCATTCAACTAAGGTTACTACGACATAAATTTACTGACCAGAAAAGAAAAAAGAAGAAAAAAAACGAATAGCAAGACTAAGTATCCCACTAGGGACGCATAGGATACAGAAACATAGCGGAGACGATTTTGATATTAAAGACAATATCCTCGCACAGGATACCAAAACACCAACGCGCAAACCTCTTGAAGATTTCTGGATAAATACCAGACCCTGGAATGAACAATAGGGAGGAATGCCTGGAGAGCACACATGATCTGGCCCGTACCTTCGCATCGACTTTTGATGTGGGGTGGTGCATTTATCGACCATATGTGACTTTGGCCAGCTGTTTTTCCTCAGTGGAAGGCACGTAATAAACGATGGGTTTTTCGAGAAGCTGTTGATCGTGCGATTGCGATTAAGATTTTCATCTTTCTATATGTGTTGTGGGAGCGTTTGACTTAGTAAATTGCCTATCAATATACCCTTCCAGAAGAAGGCGAAATCCGCCGAAACGTCAGCTTTAACGGAATAAAGAATAAAGTAACACCTCGTGTTTTCTCAACAAGAATATCGAGAATTACTGACCAGATTCAACGTTGAGAACAGACTGCCGTCTGCCAGCAGAAACCTCACGGTATGCCTATAACAGTTGAGCATCAGTGGTATGCCTCACTCATGGGTTTTTTAAACCTTTTTCAAAAAGTTTGTTTCATTAATGGAACACAGTGTGCCCAAGACCAAGCCCTGTGAGACCGGCGGATAATCTCTTGTAAAAAAAACAGCAATATTGAAGCCTCACATGGAAAAACTCAACACTGCATCAGCTTACAAGAGGAATTGGCTTACGATAGGATCGAAAAGAAGTTGCATTGGCTACTGCTCATGTCACTCGATGATTAGTGGATAGACTTTGCATTCTTCGAATTCCTGAAATGTCCTCGGCAGGGCGCTTTCAAACTGTCTCTATAAGGAGTGCCTAGTAGGCTGGAGTATGAACTGCTATATTGAGGGCGTTTTTGCAGAGAATACAGAAAACGTCAGCTTAAATTCTTAGTTTTGATTCTAACGGAAGTACCGATCTAATTTAACCACAGCAACCCTTTCCTGACAAGAGAGCTTCTGTCGCTGTAGCAGTAGCTAAAGATATTACTACTATTTCCATTGTTTTTTAAGACAGGAATGCAAGTCTATTGTGATCAAAAACACATTTAAATCGAATACATCCCACCTTTTCGAAGGCTTGCATAATCTCTAGGCCGTTCGAATCCTCTTGCATGCTCAGCTTTTGTCGCTCGACTGCCTTCACCTTTGGTTCATCGTCTAGTTTTCGCTTTGGTTCCACAGTTTTGTTTCGTAACGGATCTGCTTCGATATTCAACTCTTCTTTCCTAACTCTGAATGCATGTTTACATATCTTTATAGAAATCATTTCTTGGTGCAACAACGCCTAACGCACATGCACGATTAGGAACTAAGAACGTATCCTTATTCTCCACATTTTTAGATGAAAAGCTCAAATTATGTGATACATATGTATGTATTTACGTATGTATCATATTTGTTTATATGATCTTATAAACTGATATCCTAAAGCTGATGCGAGTTTGGTATAGGTCTTAATTATCTTTGTCGTTGTTGTTTGTGTTGTTGATCGATGGCTGACGTTTCGGCGATTTCGCCTTCCTCAGAGCCGTGCTTTTACGAGCGGCTCTCTTTTTTTTCTCCTAATGATGGTACTAGTCCAGTTGTCCATTCGTCTCACCTCATAACAGCACGGCTCTGAGGAAGGCGAATTCGCCGAAACGTCGGCCATCGATCAACAACACAAACAACAACGACAAAGGCAATTAAGACCTATACCAACCTTGCATCAGCTTAAGAAGGTCAGTTTATAAGATCATATGAATAAATATTTCAACTATCTAGGCCGACGTTTATCGAAAGTCGGTCTTTTAAGTTATGTATCATACGTTTGTTTCAAGAGTAGTGCTGAAGCATAATGTACTTGTTCTGATGGTGTTCTGCACGCATCTGGGCGAGAGAGGACATATTGACGCTGATATCCATTGATGGTGGATCAGGAACGATTGACACTCGTTTTTTTGCCGCTACATTTCTATCGTAAGCGAGGGTCTCTGCACAGATTGTCGGACTTCGCCAACTGGAATACAGACATTCGATAACGCCACAGCTACAGTGAGAAAGAAGACAACTAATCACAACTAAGCATATGTAACAGAAATTTGAGGTGTATTTTCGAGCAGTGTCGTAGTCTATATGCTTCAAATATAGTACTGGCATGTAGTTGTACAAATGCTGTTACTACTCATATTATACATCATACTATTGGATTAAGCCCTATTTTCATCACTTGTCATCTATATTGTCCCGCGATATCTTCTCCATTGTTCATTTCATGATCAACTTTAGCCTACGTCACCAACAACGGAAGACATAGGAGGAAGCTGCTGTTCCCTTCGTATTTTTTATCGGTCTAAATATATTTAACGTTGCACTTTTTTCACACAATTTATGAATAATTACAAAAATACCTTTGTCCCTTACTTAGCCTACGCCACAGGCTTGAACACTTTGACGTCTTGGTTTCTCATGTATACCATTAGCTACCTCACTACTGATACGGTATTGATACGTTGGTAGTTCGGGGCAAGCGTCGTAGTACAGTGTTTAGAAGTGCCTTGCTATGCATACGACCTTTTGTTAAGTCCTATGCCAACCGATCACGAAGAATCTTCCGCCAGTCCTCCTAAACACACTGGCTCGGCTCTTCACACGTTACCTGTCTGAATGCAAGGTCCCTACTCAGTGGAAGACCAGTAAGACCGTGTTATTGTTCATGAAGGGTGACTTCCGCGATGTAGGCAACTGTTGCCCAATCTGCTTACTGTTTGTCGTCTACAAACTTTTCACTCGAGTCGTACTAAATAGGATTGACACAACAATGGACGAAGGACAGCCATGTGAGCAAGCAGGGTTTCGAAGAGGACTTAGTACTATGGACCACATCCACACGGTAACACGGCTCATTGAAGTATCGCGAGAGTACAAAAAACCGCTCTGTCTCACTTTCATCGTTTTACAGAAGGCCTTTGATTCAATCGAGATAGAGGCAGTCATGGAAGCCCTTGATAGTCAAGGAGTCCATACTCACTACAAAAAGATGCTTCGTGAGCTGTACAAAAATTTCACAACCAAGATATTACCATTCGACAACGATATTAACATTGACGTCAAAAAAGGAGTTAGGGAAGGCGATACCATCTCGCCAAAATTATTTACCACCACCCTCCAGAACGTCATGCAAACATTGGAATGGGATAATATGGGAGTAAAAATCAACGGTCGGCAATTACAGCACCCTCGCTTTACTGATGATATCGTCCTTATAACAATAAACATTAGCCAAGCAGAACGAATGCTTGACGACTTTGATAAAGCCTGTGGAAAGATTGGTCTTCGACTAATTCGATCTCATAAAAACGATGTTAATGAAGAACGGAATGGTTTCGTATACTCCATTCGCGCTCAACGGAACGAATAGCTCAGATTGCTCGATGTCTATGCTAGCTGGTAATGGTACACGCTTCTATAGGATCGATTCTTTGGAAAAAACAAGTTATTACCACCGGACAGTCACTATTATCAACAACCAGCATAGTACACTAAAGAGCATCGCCGGGTGAGTTTGCCTCAATCGGGAGATGCTTCACTGAGGAAAATCAGACACGATGCGAAGACAAAGCCGCCACATCGAGAAGAGAACAACTGTGGACTAGCGACTCGGATCATCTGCTCTGATGAAGACGAAGGCGTTCAATCGTTAGCCGAATAAGAGTTGTAAAACAACTTCGTGTAAGCCAACAATTTAAACACATGTTGATTTCTCATAGCGAATTAAAAGGAAGGTCGGTGTTTGAAAAACGGTAGGTGTTCACTTATTTGCTGAGGTTATGAAGGTGTTTGACTGAGCAGATTGCATGCCAATTTGTCTCTTCCAGGCTCTGAAGAGCGAGGAACCGTCGAAACGTCGGCTACTGTGAATGCATAAGTGGTGGAATTCCAGCCTCGTTCTTGATAATAAGAAAAGAAATTGATTTATTGATCAATGCCAAGATTAGAAAAAAGTTAGCTATGGAATTTACTTTTTCTTTCTCTTCGTAATGCGTTCTACTCATTCATCGCTTACTTACTTGCTTAATTATGCGACCTCCAAAAAAATTAAATGTTTCCTTTCTCACCGCTGTTGAGGCATAGAAATGCTGTGAATATCTGGCTGACTTGGGGATCGTCCTTTAGATCCACTGGATCGCCTTGTAGAGCAACCGCTCGGAGAGCCGTTTTGGGATAGTCTCGATCCACGACGAGATCGAACCTGTGCGTAGAGTTATAAAATAAGAATGTCGTCAATGAAAAACTTGCCGATGAACTTTTTGAACCGTTTCTGTGAGGTATAAAGAGTAGCCGCTAATCATCAACCAATTATAATCATAATGATGTCGAGGTATTGGCAAAGTTTCGAACCATTGGTGCCTGCGCTGGGAACCGAACACGCTACTACTCATTTTTGAGGCTTGCGCGTCCACCACCACAGCATGTGCGTCCTTCGTTTCGCATTTTTCTCAGCCCTATTATTGACCTATAGGTGCTAACAGCAATCACCCGTCAATGAGATTGATCAGTGAAGCACAAATCGACATGAGTCCAGTTAAGCTGAAGCTGTAGTACAAATCACAATGTTGTCAATTTTTATCTACTCCTTACCAGTTTTTAATGGCATAGAATTATGTTAAATATAACCATAATGATGCTCAGATATTTGCAAAACTCCGGACCAATGGTATCTGCGGTGGGGAACGAATGCGCTATTATTACTCTTTCCGGAGGCTAACACGTTCACCACCACACCATGTGGGTCCTTCGTTTTTTTTTATTTTATTTAGTTCACACGACCTGTCTCAACATCTACTGTGCGGAATCCAGTACTTTTTCCATTCGATTCGCTCCCTTGCACTGATCCTTCACAAAGTTTTTCGAACAATTGCGTATTGTTCCTGCTGCTGCTTGAGAATTCTCGTCTGCTTTACTAATGTCGTTGAATGGTGATTGAGACGATTCCTCCGAAAGTCGCGAGACAGTGGTGCTAGAGCTTTTCCACTTTAAGGTTGGCAAATCAGTATGGATGAGGGCAGAAGTTCAACGATATTAAATTTGCAGGCATATCAACACCTGGTCCTAATTATCTTCATGGGATGAAGGTAAAAAGCAACGAAACGAATATGAAAAGTGCTACAACCCACGACATTCACCGTTATGTTTCTAATAATTTACTCAGCTACTATTGGGGCACCAGCCGCACACAGCCTTATATAGGCGAGGAATGTGCTTGGCGTAAATCAAACAATCTACCTGTGGTATAGCAAGAGATTACGCACTATCACAAAACGCTCTTTGCAGTCGATTTTTAGATCTCCGAGATTCATCTAAGACACTGTAAGAGTTTTACGCGCCGAAACTTTGGATTTCGGTGCGAGGATAGGATTCCAACTTAAGATCTCCGCTATGTCTTTGATCCAAATAAGGGCCTAGTGTTTTGGAGTGTTTTGTCTGACTTTCACTGGCCCAAGTAGGTGCTCTTCTGCACAAACGAGGAGTGATGTATCCGTTTCGCCAATGTATTCGCCTTAACACACTTTAGAAGGGATCGGATAAACCGCACCTGAACTCATGCAATCACCGTCTAAACCGCTACGGAATACGATACAATATTGCGTTGTGCATAAACAGTCATACAAGCAGCTATGAACAAACTGACGTTTTAAGTGCTCGGGGCTATCAATCACTGCTTTCGATTTCTATAGAACGATCTTTTTTTTTAACCGTTTCAGCTGTGGGTTTTCTTTGCAAATGAAGGAAATGGTAAACAGAGCCTTATTTTAGCTAAACATAATAATTGGGGTGTCGTTTTTCCGGTTTTTCTTGAAACGTGATTTTTACGAGCCCCCTCGATTTTTACAAGGTCCCTCGTTTAGGTTGTCTCTCAGCTAGTTCTATCGATCAGTGCCATCAGCAATCACCCTGTCACAGCATCATTATGGTGATATTTCACGTAATACCCTACCATTAAAAAATAGTAGGCAGTAAATAAAAACTATATATTAACCAATTAATTTCAGTGTGTTAAGGAGTATATTACCAGTAGAGATTTCAAGAGATTGATTTACATAGGTAATTGATTGTACAGCCAATATGAGCGTCTTTCTCATAGCTCAAACTTCTTGCCATCAGATATTAATGAACCTGTTTTTATTTTGCTCGCTCAACCAGCGCTGATGGGCTGACATTAGTTTCAGCGCTGCAAAATATTCTTCCGTCGTCGGTATAACTTAGAAAAGTGGGAACATGGCATTCTTGCAGATATCTGTAACCGTAACTATGGTTTCGATGTGATCATCGAATGTGGCGAAGCTTTTGATTGCAAATCAGATTTAACAGAAAATAATCTCGGGACTATATACTTCAGTGTCATTTCTACTGTCTATGACAAAATTTTAAATTGAAGAGGTTAGAGCAGAGCTTTTTTACAATGAACTCCACACCATATCTGCAAATGACAAAAATCCTATAATTTTAACTTAGTATTTACTGCCTACTCTTTTTAACGGCAGGGTATATATTGCGAAATATAACTTTTAATGATGGCAAAAAATCGATAGAACTAGCTGAGAGACGGGCGAAACGAAGGACCCGCATGGCGTGGTAGTGAACGCGTTACTCCCCGGAAAGGACAATAGCGCGCTCGTTCCCCACCGTAGACACCTGCGGTCCGGAGTTTTGCAAATATCTCAGCATCATTAAAAAAAATTTAATAATCACTAAGCACGTTGAGCAGTGAAACACATCCGCACATGGCTTGGGTAGCGCTTCTCTGTAGTGGTTCCCTTTCTAGGAGGCAAACAGTAGTTTTTTGCATTCACATCGTTACAAATTCCGCTTTATAGGTCTTGTGCAGTTGAAACACATCATTCTCCGTGTAAAGATTAGTGTGATAGGACTAACTCTCCACTTTCTTCATTTACAGTGAAACACCGTATTCTGCACTTCTTGACTGCAATGCCAAGTAAAGCGCAAAGCGACTTTTCAGCAGTGGATCACTGTGACATCCACTAAGACGAAAGTGTCACTAATGTCCATAACCTTGTACTTAAAAGGTGGCTTTGTTTAATTACTTTCATCATTTTGGAGAAAAATGATTATAGAGAATCCTTTGGCGAGTAGCTCATAGAGTTCGGAGGACATTCTTAGCTGAAGTGCAAAGGAACAATTTCGTCCAGTATCGTCGTATGTGAAAATCTCTTCTTTCTTAGGTGTGGCTGAAGATTTTGTGAATCCACACGTGAATCATGGAGCTAGTCTACTTCCAAAAATGCAACTGTGATTTTCTTTCTTTTTTTTTGAAAAATGAATTCCCACTGAACAGACATCAGATGAGCAGGCTTCCTGCTTGACTACTTTCTTTCCAATTTCGGACTGATATCATAATTTGCATTATCGTGTATTTTTGATAGCAGCTTTGCAGAGGCTTTTTCTTCCTTCTTTTTCAAACCACTACGTACAACCAAATGATTACACAACACGTGCACTTTTGCTCTCATCGGATGTGCACGTTAGTGAGTAGCAATTCACGATATTAATTCTTTCCTGAGGTGAAAGATTGAAAATCTCTCATAATTTTAAGCGCTGTTTAGAAGGTAAAGGGATGACAAAACCTAAAATGCATCGGTGCTTCGTGATGTTATCTTCTCTGTGTCACACACACATCAAGAAGACCACCGACCCTATGGTCTAAGTTCGTCGCGAAAACCTTGAAAGGAAGATATGATACTCAATGACTCCCTAGCGAGCAGAACTTTGGACTACTGTTGCACGCGACAAGGAAAAATGGAAGATTTACTGGGTTCCGATTAACTCATTCGACGAGCAACGAAACTGCAGGTTATCTCCTCTATACAAGGGATAACGATTCCGCAGTTTAATTAGATTAATTCATTCCCCTTGCTCTTGTTTTCTGTAAAGCGTTAGCGAGGTATCTGAGCGCGATTGTAGCTTCAGAGCGTCGACATTTCAGGAGACTGCGCTGGTGTTATAAATGCAAAGCACGAAGCGGTCTTCATGGCTGTCGTGGACGCGTTTATTTGACCTAACAGTTGTGGATCGCCAGCAACTCACCAACTTGGGGATAGCTTAATTCAAGAGGACAATGATTTCGATAGCGCTAGTTTACACTTAATTGTGTTTTTCTCCTTAACTTGAGGGTCTTTGGTGCTGGGATAAACCTTCTTTGTTCATCATAAGAGCCAAGTAATAGTTCTCAACTATGAATTCACAATTACCAGTTTTTTGGGAGAAGCTGAAACCAATACTGAAACTTACTTCTTCTATAATGACTCTCGGTAACGATTGCCTTTTATCTGTGTGTTTATGTACAGATTGCCCAAACATAAAAAGTTGATGATTTCTCAACTTTCTGAAGATTTTTGTATACAGATAGACGACTATGGCACCAGGTAGAAAAAATGACAGGAGTGACGACAACACCTTAACGAAATAATGAGTGATTGAGATAATAATTGTAATAATAGCAATAATGTGACAATCTTCGTTGGGATCTTTCCATCTAGTTCACTTACTTTTTGAGCATATGTCATCTACTATCTAACCATTAAACTGAAAATTTAAGATGCGATTTGAATATAAAAAGGATAAAGTTCTCGGAGTTGATCATTCGCTGACGGATGCGCCATGCATCCGACTTCATCAAGCAACGTTGGAGGTGATTAAATGCATGTTAGGCATTAGCAATGACTCGCGGTGGCCTATCGATGGATGTATCGAGCCAGTGCTGCTACCCTCCCAAACAGCTCTGATACTAATTTGCTGGCCCCGTAGGGATGGAAGGATTTGGGATTTTAATACAAGGGTGTTTTATCGCTGAATTTAAATTCTTCAGGAACAGTTGACAACCGATGCCTCCTTTCTCATTACGGTGTTGCCTAGATAAAAATATAAAATGAATAAAACTCGCAATGTATTGGGGATTTTCAATCCAACAGATGGTTTCTGAATGCGGTTTTCTCTCCATAAAAAGCGTTGAGCTGACTGCCAACGCCATCACCCAAATCATAACCAAATATGGTAGTGTGGACGTCGACACGCAATGTCGTTGATACTCCGTTGGGAACATTATTGCGAAGTACCTGAAGAATCAGTGAAATTATAGAAAACTTCAATGTAAAACTGAAGTTGATGCACTGCATAGTGTTCAAATTCGTTACTGTGAAGCTTTGAAGTACTTACTACCTCTTCCTAAGTTCTCATTGTACAGGTCGAAAAACAAGATTAACTCATAAATCTTATTTAGTTTAACAACCGTAGTATTATGGAGAAATGTGGATATTGTATCAATAATACGACTGCCACTCATCATAATCCAAACGATTATCTAATTTTCTAAATTCTCCTTTTCCTTCTAATTCTCTTCTCTTCTTTAACTCTCCATCCTCTCCTCTACTTCTGTTGATCCCACCATTTCTCACACTCGATTCGTTTCCTTGTATTCATCATTCGCGAAGGTCTTCCAACTTTCATCTGTCGCTTCGACTGCCGCTGCTTGAGGATTTTCATTTTATGTTGAATATCATAGAATGCTGATCGAGTCGATTCTCCGCGGAGTCCTGAGATAGCCGGACTGGAGCGTTGCCAGTTGGATTGCAGAGACTGATTTTTCACGGACACATCCGGCACCAATTTCCCGACCTAGGAGGAGTGAGGAACTTGGTGGGTCTGATGCGAAATCGAAACAGCATCTAATTCCTGATAATCGGCATCGCTAACACTGCGCTATCCAACCCTTAGTATTGCACGTATGTATATATGAAAAAAATAGAGATAAATATGCTTAAATAGACAGTGTAAGAACCAGCTTGTAGCTAAACTTGTAAGACTTTGAAAACATGCCATAAAGAAGATCCTAAGAAGGGAAGAGAAGCAGCAATGACGGAATTTGCAAAGGATGAGATCATGTGCAAAGCTTGGCTAGACTTCATGTATTGCAAGACCAGTATATTCGTCCGATCGGAATAAATCACAGCAGCTAGGAGAACAATAAGGAGAATAACCGGCCAGTACAAATATGAGCACTTCGACAACTACGTTTTTAATTTCAGCTCTCAGTATACTCATTTAAAAAAGTCCAACATCGTCGTACTGCTGAATAAAAGGAGATCTAACTGATATGGACAACCACGTAGTCTTCATCAGCTTAAGAAAGGCCTCCATTTAAGCTAAGACAGGAACGGTTATTAACACTTAAAATGAGCGTGGCGTTTAGCGGGCCTGCCTCTTAGGAGAACGCCAACTTAACTTGTCATTTTTTACAGAATCTCTATCTTAGTTTTTCACCATAAACAGTAATTTTTCGATATCTAAAGAAATGCAGTTTTCAATCCGACTGTCATTTAAAAAAAACCTTAGTAGTGGAATAATCAACATGTTTTCAATTTGTTACGCTTACACGAGGTTGATAATAAGGTTTATTCGGCCAACATTTGCACGTCTTCGTTTACATCAGAGCCGATGATCCACAGTTACTCCTCTTCTCGGTTACTTCTCGGTTACAGTTACTCCTGCTATTCTATACAAGATCGTTGTTGTTGATATGACTATCTGTTGGTAACAGTTTGTTTTTCAACGGATTATCCACCTTGTAGCAGCAGGTATTATGTTAGCTAGCACAAAGCGAACACCAAGAGAATTTTCAATCCGCCGCATTGAGATTACGAAGGCGCCACATCGAGAAGAAGAACAACTGTGGATCATCGGCTTTGATGAAGACGAAGAGCTCGAAACACTAGCGGAATAAACCTTGTTATCAACCCTGTGTAACCTCAACAATTTCGAAACAATTTTAACTTATTATTTACTGCCTAGTATTTTTAATGACGGGGTATATTATAAAATATAGCTCCAATGACGCTGAGATATTTGTAAAACTCCGGACAGCAGGTGTCTGCGGTGGGAAACGAACGAGCTACTATGCTTTCCGAGGGCTAACGCGTTGACCACCACACCACGCGGGTCCCACGTTTCGTCTGTCTATCAGCTAGTTCTACCGATCATTGCTTTCAGCATCCACCCGTATTAACTAAATTAAGAACATTGGCTTTATTTATCACTGAAAGAGTGCCAACAAAATTACACAACACGTCACTGTAATCGCTGGTATATTGAGACAGTCCATGCTTCTATTCACTTTGTATCGCTTGTGTCACCTGTAGTCTCTTTGATTGCCGAGTGACTCGGGCGGGCGCCAGTAAATCTTCCACTTTTCCCTGTCATGGCGAATTCTGTATTGGAGACAGGAAAGTCGTTGACTCCTGTCTGCTAATGGCGATGGTAAATTGAAAGGCTGTTGGATGAGCGGAGCTACATGCACAACTTTTCATAATCTGCCTTCTATAATTTTTATGGGAGGGTATTAAGCGAAATACAACCACAAGATTGCAAAGATGTTTGGAAGACTCCAGACCGCAGATGTCTGCGGTGGGAAACGAACGCGCTATTGTCCTTTCCGGGGAGTAACGCGTTCACCACATAAAAATTATAGAAGGCAGAAAATACAAAGCAAACATTGTGAATTCAACTACAGCCTCAGCTTAACTAGGTTCGTTGCCGATTTGGGATCCCTAGATCACTTCCGCTGACAGATGATTGCTGATGGCGTTGATCGATAGAACTACCTGAGAGACAAGCGAAACGAAGGATCCGCATGGTGTGGTAATAAATGCGTTAGCCCCCAGAAAAGGTAATGTTGCATTCGTTCTCCACCGCTGACACCTGCAGTCCGCAGTTTTGCAAATGACTCAGCACCAATATGGTTATGTATACATATTTACACATACTGGATATATCTTACCTGTCTAAACTGATCGCCACCAAGTGAACGATACTGGCGGTGGATGAAAATACACCGGAAACGAGGTGAAACTGACACCATGTATAGCCGAGGGTCCAGTTATCACCGTGTAGCTTAAAAACAGTATCAATATCGTTACTCATCAAACGAATGGCCATAAGCAGCCAAAATTAGGCTGCTTTAATGCGGGTCGCAACTACGCTACACCTTTACTTATAGCCAAGTTTGCGCTACGTGGCAGACTACTAACTTTAACCATCTACCGATTTCTGGTTTTTTCTTAGCAAAAAAGTACTTGTTATAGTGACTTTGTATTTTTGGTTTTTGTTCTATATATGCAGACGACTTAACTTTGCACTTTTTCTTTAGCAGATTCGGACTACATTACCGTTGCTATATTACATAATAATTACCTTGTATGAGAGAACTAATATTTAAGCCCGAAAAAAATTAGTAAGAAAATGACTGCTGATTTAAATGACATCGTCGAATTGCCTGAAGGAGAGGCATTTATATTGACCGTGATAAAGATGATTTCACGGATTTTAGTTGCCTTGATTTCTAATCTTTAACCAGGCTGGAAAAAGATGAGGCTAAACTGAGAAGCCTAGGGCAGGAGCGCCAGCAAGGTGGCAAACATTGGGATTACGAGAAGCAAACTTTAGCAATTTCTAATCCATCTTTGTTTAGAAGGAGAATTTTTAGCCGTATTAGATACAAGAGTTTCCTTGACATAATTAATAGATTGTTTACTATCGATTTCATAGATCCTTTCATATTCATTAGGAACAATGAAGATATTAATCGTTTGTTTAAAAAAAGAATCGTATAAGAGAAATCGGTAAGAGCTTAGATAAATAATATTCACCTTAGAATAGAGTGACATAGGCATAACAATAACGCCAACGAGCAGGTCGCTAACTGCAAGACTAGCGATGAATTTGTTTGTTGTGACCGCTTTCAGCTTACGGTCGACGAGTACGACCAGAATGACGACCGTGTTGCCAAGGACGACGACGATAATCAGCAACAGCAGCGCTACGTCGCTTATTCCCCAAACTGCGTCTTCCTGAATGTAGTTAGGTTAGCGTCTGGGGATTTCTCCGTGATATGATGATCAATTGATCCATTATAAATACTTGTGTATTCATTTTAAAGTACTTTTTTAATCTTTAGTGAATCAGAAATTCAAAAAAATACTAGAATAAAAAAACTTGAGAATTGAAACTTAAATCGGAAGACAACAAAATTCAATAATACCTGGTCAAGTTTCCCTCTACACACTAAACATTACCGTTCTTAGTTCTTACCTATTTTGTCTGCTTTGTACTACCTTTTAAATTACCTTTGCAACTTTGAGTTTTATCAATCCGGATTTCTCCGTAGAAAACTACAGATCTCGTTACAAGTGAAGCAAAACAAAGGTGTGTTTCTTGTGAAGTCAAAAAACAACGACAGATTACAAGAGCGTTCAAATCTAGTACTTCAGTGATCAGACCTACCCCATTGTATTTCAGATCTAAGAATTTGACATCAGCCCCACACTTCCACAGGGAAACCTTCATTTCTTGCCGATGTTGCGTTTTTTCGACTACATTTGCTAACAATTTCAATTTTTCTGAATAATCAGCTGCAATATTGGATTTCTTTCTCATAAGCACCAAAAACCCTTGCCATCTAAAAAAAATCTCCAGATTCATAAGAACTGAGTCCAATATTACTAGAGCCATTTGCATGTGCCTCTGATCAATTCATGCACGTGAAGCGATTCCCTTGAAAATAGAGAGGAGGCCTGGTTATTAACACAATTTCATCTAAGGAAAATTGAAAGTTCTTTCTATTGGAAAAAGTTGGTGGACTAGGGCAAAATTCTGCTTGTTGGCTGGGTGTATTCGCGTATACTTTGTTGGGTAATAGGTCAACCTGTTACAGCCTCGAAAGCGATCCTAAACATTGAATTCGTATTGGAGCTGAAGATACGCTCATGCTCGCTTTTCGGATGAACTTAATACACTGTCGGCCACCTGCGGTTGTGTCAACTACAGGGAACTGGAAAGTTACTCTCTATTTCAAAATACTTGTAATTCATTTGCACAGTGTAGCATTCTCCTCAAGAATTTTGCGAATATTCCTTAATGCGTAGGAATTAAAAGTGATGTCTTTCTTTTAGATTTGTTATTTTATCTGAAATTTGGACCACAACTAGCACGGCTGGAAGTCTCAGTCCACAACTACATGTCCAGCAGGCGCAACGTTGAGATGCCTGAAAAATCCTTGTTCAAGTGCAAGTGGTGGAGGACCATCAAAAGGAAAGCATACTCGAGTTGACGCAAAGATAATCAAAAATAGTCATCCAAAAGTTATGGCTACTGAATCTATAGTAAAGCCTTACATATTACAGGCTCTGTAGGAAATCTGTAGCTCGAAAAACCGGTCGCCTTTCTAATTCTAATAACCTAGAGTTAGTTCGGTACAAGTTTTTCAGAAAATGTTTACTCATCCCCCAGTAAGGTCAATTTGACAACCAGCAAAGGAAAATGGGTTCTTCTTTTACTGTGTATGAACAAGGAGCTTAAATGTCGCTCTTATAAGCTGCACTAGAAAGATAATTTTTAGTGAGCTTGTAGTGTCACGGGATCCCTCACGTACGGAAAGATCCGTCCTGTCGAGTCTATAACAAACACAAACGAGGAACAAAAAAATTATTACAAGCAAAAAAGGGCAGTCGATATGACGTCTTAAACGTGCACTTGAGCTTAGAATGTACTTGCAGTACGAATGGAAATTAATTCAGTGATTCTGCTCCTTTATATAGCCACAATAGATTGGTTTATTAACTCTCTTGTACTAATTTAATAATAAAAAGGGATAAATATACGGATGTGTTTGAGCACATTCAGTTCGTATCCTTAATGTCGTTTCTGATAAAAGGTGGTAATTAAATAAATGGGAAGTAATTTAGAGGCGAATTATGCCAAAAATATCATCAATAACAATGATCCTAAGATATTTGCAAAACTGCAGACTGCAGGTGTCTGCAGTGGGAGACGAACACTCTTTCTAATACTCTTTCAGAGGGTTAATGCGTTCACCACTGCACCATACGGGCTCTTCGTTTCGCGTGTTTCTCAGCCAGTTCTATTGTGAATAATCAAGCCTCGCTTCAAGTTCGAAAAAGGTCAACAATCGTAAAATTTGTGAAAATAAAAGGCATCAAATGATAAGTGCAATTCTCTTTCTGTTCATCGAGTGAGGGCGGCCAATATATTATTCGTTTGCTCAGGTTTGAACGGCTCAATGTTCATAGGAATTGCTAATAGAAGAAATAGAAGAGGATGGGCGACAAATTAATGAATCAGCTTTTTTATGCAAAAGGCTTAGACTTCGATAAGAATCCGCATTGAAATTTTTCGAGACTTCGTAGGTACATTGAGAAGCTCTCACCATTTTCCTTCCGTAGGTTATAAAAACTGCCATCTGAAGAGATATAAGGTACCACAAACATTCTAAAACCAATTTTTCGTATTTCGGTAGCAAAGCCTGTTAGCTGAAATCCACATAGATTTGCTCTAAAAAAATTTCTCCGGTAATGCACCTGGGGCGCGTGTAGCGCAGTGGAAGCGCTCCTCAGGCTCACCAAGCCTTCCATCTCTTCGAGGTCGGTAAATTGGTAACAGACTAGTCTACAAAGTTTGAAGCACTATTTCAATTCATCGGCAGATCACCATGAGTGAGTGTGCAGGTCATATATGCATTCAATCATCTAACGATGTTTGATAAAGTCGAATGCATGACGCGTCACGTGGGAATTGACTAACGTCTAGAGCTTTACCCTCATCCTTTTTAATGTATTTGGACGATTTTGTCGATCATCAGTAGACACCCGATCTAATCACTCTCTACTGGTCGTATCCACGTTTCGAGCAACGTGATTTATACGAGGATCATTTCACGACCCATAACTGATTCCAATTGAGAATACAGCCTGTTTATGTGAGATAAAACAGGCCCGAATGTACTGGACGTGGTCATTCCGAAGATCCCCGCTATTCTTCTCGCAGATTTGTGCTAAGGTATATTTATTTCATGGTGACCAAATATGTCCTAGTTTTTAAGTATATTCTCGTGGATTACGGTGATGAGATTATCTTCGAGGCTTTGAAATGTGATGTCCAGTCATCGTGTGCGTCGCTTTTGTTTAAGACGATATCTTAAGCACTTCGTGCGTAAACTCTAAGTAGGTGTTTTGTCAACCCACGTCTGAATTGCGTAATATAGTACTGGGAAAGCCACAGCAAAACACTGAGTGAGCGCTCTTCGCTCTATCAGTGCCTCGGAGGTGTATGTGTGAAAGCGCAGTAAACTCGGGGACTCTTTGGTCGTCAAGCAATGGTAGAATGCTTGTTGCTTCCGTAAGACACTTCTCGTGCTCCGCAGTGATTAGCACAATGGACAGCTGGCATTTTCAACAGAGTTTTATGATCATTGGTTTCGAAACCAACCACAACATTGCTGAGATATTTGCAAAACTCTGGACCGCAGGTGTTTATGGTGGGAAACGAACGCGCTATTGTCCTTTCCGGGGAGTAACGCGTTCACCACCACACCATGCGTCCTTTGTTTCGCCTGTCTCTCGGCTATTTCTATCGGTCTTTGCCACAGCAATCACCCGTAACATCACGGTGAGTGGCCTTTCTGTTCAATATGGCGTCTATTTGAAAGTTTGAGCTTCATTAATACTTTAACCTGCTTTTCCACCGAATAATAAAATGTATTCTAACATAAAATACGTCCAGGCTCTGAGGAAGGCGAAGTCGCCGAAACGTCAGCCATCGATCAATAACATCAAAAACAACGACAACGACAACGAAGATCTGTACCAACCTCGCGTCAACTTAAGAAGATCAGTTTATAAGACCACATAAAGATCATGTTTAAGAAGATCAGTTTATAAGATCACGTATTTCGCTTAGTACCCTGCCGCGAAATTATAGTAGGCAGAAAATAAAAAGGTATAACATTGTGGTTTCGAAACGGTTGGTGTTCGAGTGCACAGTGTATCCAGAGTATTGTTATGATGCCTTTTTTGCTATCCTTTTTTTGTTAGGCCGTGAAAGAAGCATTTTTTTATTTTGTTGTTAAGGGGAATCTTAGGACGGTCGTAAGGAAACAGAGACTCTATGCGACGATCTACATTGCTGACATCCACTTGATGGAAATGATGGCCCTATCACGTATTACTTAGCATGTAAGGGAATCTTTCGATATCTCGCAGGTTGTGTTGAGATGTTCTATCGGACGCAGCATATCGCCTTATTCAAAAAGTATTCAAAAAGTTTCCGTGCAGAGCCGTCTACTCCTGATACTATATAAGGAATACCAAGGGTTATTCCGTGTTTACTACTGCCAACATAATGATGCTCTTTAAGTGCATCGGCATATAAGCGAGAGGGAGAATCCGAAGTCCCGGAAACCGAACCTTGAATTACGACAACTTGACAAAGAATTTGAGCGGATTGGTTGTATTGAATGCCAAGTGTCCCAGTAGGATAACACCGAACTCGATGGACAGAATTCTTCATGATAATTCTGTTGAAAAATATGATGTTTTCACGTCGCATTAGCGGGCTTGCCTTACAGGGTATTTCATACACGCGACAAGGGCAAATGCAGAATTCACCAGCTTCCACTTAACTCAGGTGAAGATTAACAGCTTAGGTGGCAAAAATAATTTATGTTTTTTCATCGTCACTTTTGTCTTTTTATTGAGTTCTACAGAAGCAAAATAAAATGGCTTTGACAAGTACGCACGTTGCCATGGATGTGTTAGGAGCCAAACTGCTTTTATGGAAAATATTGCGTTGAGCACCCTAATTGTTAAAATGGAGTAAAGATGTGGGCAAACATTCTTCACATGTAAGTATTGGTATTACTGAAAGTTTGCGTGCCTATGAAGAGTTCAGCCAATAACAGTTGAAAACACCTTCCACGGTGAATATGAAAACTCTCCTGGCGTTGATCAATCTCTGAGGGCTGCGCCATGCATTCGACTTTATCAAGCAACGTCGGAGGTGATTGAATGCATATAGGGCACTTACAATGACTCGCGGTGGCCTTCCGATTTATCTAGTCAGTATTTATCTAGTCTGCTATCTTGCCAAGTATCCTTTAGTACTAACTTATCGAACCCGGAGGAATGGAAGGCTTGGTGGGCCACGGGCGCGGGCATCGATCCCACGTATGTGCCACAGGGCACCACGGACCAGTGCGCCATACGCGCCCCTCACAACGAATATAGGCAAAAAACTGAATTCTGTTTTGTTTAGTTAATTAAAATTTAACTAGAAACGTTTTTGACCTGAGCTAAAGGTCTCAGTTAAAAAAATTCATTTTGTCAGTCTAAATTTTCACTGAATAACGGTTTAGATTTTCCGGTGTGACTTTAGATTTCACCACGTTAAATGCTACCTGTACCACTTTCTCGATATTTCTTTAAAAGAAGTACTGCTCTATGCAGTAAATAGAACGCTCTTGTTTTCCATTTTGCTCATCGCATACGAAGAGAATGAAGAGCTCTTTCTAAAAGATTGACGACGACACATTAACACTGTAAATGAATAGAAAAATAGAAATAAACAAGTGAATAGAAATATATAACAAGCCACTCGGTCTTAAAG